AGGAACGCCGTGTGCTTCGCTGTCAGACTTAGGCTATATGTGCTGCCGACTAAGTACAAGCCAGTTTTCTTCCACAGTCATCACCCACGCTGTATTCTGGCCCTTGATTCACTTAAGCATCTACAACCTACTGCATCTGTTGAGCTTAGTTGTAATGCAGACGAACACCTGCGAGTTTGCAGACTTACAGTCGCGTTGTTTGGATGCTACTATACAGTTTTCGTAGAGGTGTTACCAACATGCCCAGAAGAGGTGTGGGACATCTTCATAAGCTGATGGTTCTAATATTTAGCAGCTGCAAGTGTATAAACTCACTGTTGAAGATTTGATATAACACAAGATGCCCAAACAACTGTCAAACCCAGATTCTTTGGTCTCTTCTTGGTTTTTATTATATCTTACATTGTAGACTAGCAAAGCTGAACAGCTTTTAGTTCTTGCTTGGATGGAACACGTGGCTGGTGAGTACTTTTCTGATGGGATTGAGCACATCAAAGGTTTTTGTGCGTGTGTAAATTCATGCCCTCTTTTCCCCTCTCCATCTCCCGAAGGGGTTTTTTCACAAAGCAGGATTAGCAAGTTAGCATGACAACTTTAAAAAGTACTTTTGTTAGCAGCTCTGTCTGCATAGCCGAATCATATTTCTAAACCTTATATTCCAATTTAGCTTCATAGATTGATATCAGAATTGCCAAGAGAGTGGAATAATCTTTTCCAGATACGTGGGAAATTTCCTAATACGGATATTTCAAATTCCCCACAAGGGACCTCATGGGTCCTTAAATCTGTATCAATTCTAGGTATTTCTTGCACCTGCATCCCTCTTTTCTTCTGCATGCTCTCTTTCATCCCTCATTTCCCACTCTCTACTCCTCTAATCCCCCCCAGTTGCCTCTCACACACACACACTCTTTCTTTCACATTTTGCTCTCCCCCTATTTCTCCTCCTCCCCTATATCTCATTCCCCAAAACCATCCCTCTCGTCTGTCTCCAGTGGTTGCCGTGGTTACAGTTTGTTCTGCTCATCAGGCGCCTGCTGTGCCTAAACAGACTGTCAACAGTTTAATTACTCATCCTCTCATCCCTCTATCCTTCCTTACTTCTGTACTGTGCTTTTGCTTATTGCTTCCACCTCTGATGGGGGAGCCTCTTCGTCACTCCTCCTCTCTGTGACATACTCTTTTTGTCTCCTTCCATCATTTTCCTCCTTTATTCTCTCACTTCCTTCCATCTTTTTACTTATCCTTCTCTTTGCTACTATGTTTGACTACTAACGGTCTAATTGCTCATCCTTTTAACTTTCAATCATATCACAGTTTTATTCTATTCATCCATCCACCCCTCCATCTCTCTATCCACCCATCCCTCCCCCTCAGTGTGCCAGGGCTTTATTAATGTAGTTTTTCTTTTCAGACATTGTTATTCCTCTATTCCCTTATCCCCACTCCCTCTTATCATCCACCTCTCAAGTGCCATCACTCGCCTTTTCATTCTTCATTACTCAGTCTCTCTCCATCCTCTGAGTTTTCCTCCATATCTTAAACAGTCAGTCTTGTAATTACACCTCTTCATCACACTATGGTTCCATACCTCTCTGTCCATCATCTACCCTTTCAGTTCCTTAGCTGTTGACAGCGGCCTGACGTCTCATCCTTTTGATCCTCCCTCTCTTCTTTACCAGGCCGGCCTTTCACTTTTCTCCCTCCACCATTTGTCTTTCATTCGTCCATCCATTCATCCATCAAATGCCACCTTCCCGACACTGACCACGTCTCCCTTGTTTCAGGGTTTCAAATCTTCCACTTCTCGCCTTGATTGAAAGCCTGTTATATCAGAATGGTGTGTGACATCCTTCATCTATCATTCATCATCATCTATGATGTCTTTTCATGTGCCTGTCTTCATTGGTTTCATGCAATTATCCTTAATGACTGCATTTGTGACTTCATCTGTCAATTTGTCTAATCTCCTGTCTTTTAGCTTTTTATTCCTTAATTCACTGTACGCTAAACTCCTCCCCCGAACAGTTTTTTGCCAATCATAGCTTAGTTACTGTATCTAGCCGTGCCAGGCCTGACGAGCTTTGGTTGTGTCTGCATGTTGAGGCTGTGTGCACTGGTCTCTAGTAAGAGTAATTCTTAGCAGTTAAAGTGTTTGGATAGTGGTTTTCTTTTTCTACTTTTTTCAACTCTCAAAAACCAAAAATACAAGAGCAAAGGTGTAAAGAATGGACTAAACAATGTTGTCTGCTCTACTGTAACCTGAAAAGGTCAGACTAACTAGCTTACTACAGTAGTAAGCTAACCCATTGATTAAACATGAATTATTTCCAAGGTGAGCAGCATTATACAACAAATTATTTAATTATTTTGTGGGTTTACATTTTACGTTCACATAGTATGGGAGCCACTACATCTTGCCAAATGCCTTGGTTCACCTGTCCTTCTCTTGTAACATTATATAAAAGCATAAATCTAGTTCTTCTTGCTTCTCCATGTGTGTCATCTCAGCGAAGTTTTTGCCAAATATCATGAATGTAGTCATTAAATGCATATTTAAGGGAGTAGTGTGTAGGATTTAGCGTTTGGTTCCATTCTGGGCTACTGTAGAAACATGGCGGTTCAACATAGCATGTAGGGTTATATTTTCATGTGATTATACACTAATGAAAATAGTTACATATATTTCATTCCATTTTTGCCAATAGATCCTCTGAAATGTTACACAATGGATGAAGCATTAAAAAGTCAGCTAGAGAGTGTTTTCATCCAACTGAGGGAGGTAATGTTGGCTTGATTAGCTGCTAGCTACAGCTGATCAAATCTGCCACTGACAGTTGCCATTTCAGTCTACTCTCATCTAGGTGTGTAAAATCAAGGACCCATTGTTTCACTGGTAAACGTACCCCCCGTTAACGCTGTGAACTGGATATGTGCCGTGCAAGACCGGAAAGCTTGATAGGCATAACAACAGTAACTAAGGGGGAGGGACTAAGCAAATGTTAAATTAATTGATCTGCTTTTTTCCCCTTTACTTCCTTTCAGTAAGTGGTCTATTGCCTGCCATTTTTTTCCTTCATCCACTTGCCAGTCTGTTCATTTTGGCAAGGCTCCTACTTTGAACAGTGAGCATCCCATCTGTTCATGCATCTCCCTTACTGTAGCCTCAGAATGACAGACACCCCCAGTAACAACAAGCCACACAGAGAATTAACAAGATAATTCAGAAAATGTTCTTTTATTCAGCGTTTATTTTACCGTTTGAACTATGTGGCACTTACCTGCTCTGTATTCCTATGACTAGAGCTAAGCCAATTATAGAATTATAATTTGGTTAATGGATATCAAAAGGCCTCTTTGTTACACTTTAAAAAGATCCAGTCATCATCTTTTCAGAATTAACGTTGCCCTTGTTCAGAGCAAGAGTCAAAACTGCTGTAAATGATCAACAGAGCAGGTAATGAGCCCTGTCTCAGTTATTGAAAAAGCGTATTGTTCATAAAAATAGTTTCACGTGTGGTGTATTCTTTTTAAGCCAAATATCTTTTGTTTCCAGGGTAATTAATGTTTCTCTAAGGTAGAATTTTACTTTTCCCCAAAGTTGTGCCTCATAATTGGCACGTCTATTACATGGAAAAGCCCCATGGTACAACATATTCCCCTTGTAGTTATATCTCTAAATAGCTCATTACTGGTGTTGGGGATCTTTTACAGACTTTTTGGGGTCATTTAAGACTAATTGTAGCCAATGGTATAACAGTCGAAGGCTACATAATGATGGCCATCTGTCATTTCTAATTATTTCTTCCTCATCTATCTTTCTATTTTTATCTCCCTGTGTTAAATCACCATTACTTTATCATTCTAGTCTCTTTCTAACCTTTATTATCTTGTCACTCATCATTCTAGAGTAACATTTTCTTGTTTAGCTCACTCTTCAGTCAACCCGTCTTCTATTTTCTTCTGTAATTTCTTGTCTCTTTGTCTCAATCTCTCAATCTTTTATATCATCCTCTGCTCCTTTTTATCCCTCTGTTTTTCTGTCTCCTTATTCCACTCTATGTTAGCCCTTCATTAATCTGCTTTTTCCTCTTTCTCTACCCTTGTCACTTGACGAAGTCTATCACTGCTCCTCACTCATCTCATCTCGTTTCATCTAACCTCTTTTAACCCACGGTGCCATCACTCGTTTGTCACCCTTTCCCCTGCATTTCTTTTCTCCTCCCTTTGCCTCCCTCTTGCACTTTCCCTCTCCTTCCGTCTCCATTTCTTTCTCGTCGCCCTCTGATCCTCCTATATATCCACTCAGTCAGTCTGATCTCCTGTGTCAGTGTGCCAAATCTGTGTATGTGCGCGGACTCAGACACAGCTTACGTAAAAAGCCTCAAACAAAGGGAGGTTAGAACTGTTCTGTGCTGCTGCTGCCGCCACACAAACACACTCGGCTCTGCATCCACATGATGCACACATAGACACACACACGACACGCCAGGTGAGATTACATAAAGGCAAAGTGATGAAAGCCAAGCTGAGATGCACCTAGTGAGTAATCTGATACAGGACAGCTGGCTGACACTCACACACAGAAACATGAGAGACAGCAGGATTCTTAGTATGGTAGGGGTATGTAGAACCAAAGAAATGGGGCCTTTGAGGTGTAGGAGGATTAAAATTAGAAGCATAGGAAAAGGAGTGTGTGTGTGTGTTATCCTCTGTGTGTACTCTGACATTTGCCTCTCATGTTTTTGTTGTTATGAATGCACATCTGTTCATTATTTATAAGCTCAAGTGTGTGTCTGAGAGAGAGAGTGAGAGAGGGAGAGAGTGAGAGAGTGAGAGAGAGCGAGAGCGAGAGCAGTCCCAGTGAGTGCTGGTGTTCACGGCATTGATGTGCTCAATGATTCAGCACAAGAGAGCTAACCATGCAGACATGGGTCCACCTTTACTGGGCCAATATATGCCAACAATTGTGTGTGTGTTTGAAACTGCATGGACATTACCTTTTCCGTCTGTGCGGCTCTATAATCCGAATCAGCTCCACATGTTATCCAGGTTTATATATATGTGTGTGTGTGTGTGCGTGAGTGTTTAGCACAGATCTCGCCCCAGGTGTTTCTCCTTGTGTTGGACCAGCAGGGGATGAGGGGGCCGGGAGGGGGGGAGCAGTTGTGTGTGTTTGTGCTGAAACCTGTCCTACTCCCCTTCACACACACACGCCCCCACACACATCAAAAGGAGGCAGATGTAGGTCAGTGTAAGAAGAACCATAGAGTTGCAGGAATTCCAATCCCACAATATCCTCTTAGACTTCTATAGATGAAGAAAACCTGGAAAATCCTGAATTACTCGCTCAATCCCGGCGCGGTATTCCGAAATAGAGACCTCAGTTTGAGAAGAAATCCACGAATCCACTTCGCTTGAAATCCTATTTATGCCGTTTTTATATGATTTCCTCATGGCTGTATTCAACTTCTCTCTCTATCTGGAGCAGTTCAATCAAAAGAGAATAAGAATCCTGGAGTTGGCAGTGATCTTCACCTCTCTTCTCTCATCCCTTCCACTCCTTCTCTCACTCCCGCTCTCCTTTTTCCCCCTCCCCCCTCACTCATACAGCCCCTCTCTTCTTATTTGTTCATCTAGGCTTACTGTCCTATTGCTTCATTCTTTCACACGTTCAGTTTTTCCCCCCTACTCTTTCTCTCATCCCTCACTTCCCGGTGTGATTTCCAGGGCGTGTCACAGGGCCTCTCTACGCTTTACACATTGGTAGTTCTCCCACATTGAATTGAGTTGTTCATTGATGACCTTGGATTGAGGTGCAGAAAAGGAGGTTTGGGAGCGAGCTGGAGGGATGGAGGGATGGCTAGAAACCTGCAAAAGAAGAGAAACATGGAGAGTGTGAAGAGGATGAACTGTGTGCGCTGTACTGTGTGTGTGTGTGTGTGTGTGTAAACACAGAACTGGAGTCCATTATCACTTTTGTCTTATCCTGCCTTTCTCCTCCACCTGACCTCCTCTTCCCCCCCATCTACATCCATCTACATCCATCCCTCTTTCTACAACTTCTGCTGTCGATCATTCACCCCTCCCTCGTGGCCTCTTTAAATCCCCATCCCCACCTCCCCACCTTGCCACCCCTCACTTTTTCTCCCCCTCCCTCACTCCCTCTCACCTGCCTGTCAAAAAGAATCAATAGTTCTGAGACCTTCTTAACGCCTCTCAGCAGGCTGCATTGGCTTGTTCTTGCTCACTCACTCACGCACACACACACACGCACACGCACACACACACACACACACACAGCTCCTTAAATCCATACGTCATGAGTTAAATGAAGAGAAGCTGT